GGCGCAGACCATCTGCTCGCGAGGGTAGCGGATTATCGGATGACGCTACTACATCGGGTGAACGTCAACGAACTTCCTCGGAACCACCTCAAGGCGGAAACAGGCGACGCCGGCAGGGAAGTGAACCGGATCCAGACGGTGAGTCGCGAGAAAGAGGAACGCCATCACCTCCGGCACGAATACACCGGGGAAGGGGCTCGGGAGGAACGGGTACTCCTGGTGCCGATGACCGAGCGACCAGGAACGGGGACGCTGGAGGAAGCATGGAACCTGGCGCCACGGGGAACAGAAGCGAGCACCCTCGTTCCAGTACCAGATGCGGAGTGTGCTCGGGTGAGGTCATCGAGGGACACCGTGTGGTGCAACCCACTTGCGGGCATCCCATCCACGCAAGATGCGTACTATCTAGGTTGGAGGGACGCGGAGAACGCGCGCTGCTTGAGTGTAGGGTGCACGGGTGCGGGGACCAACACTCTCGGAGGGACAGCCTGGAGGCGGCGGTTCAAGCTGACCCGGGGCTGCAGCTACGAGCTGAAAGACTGATAAGGGGGTTAAACGACGAACCCCACGGAGCACGTTCGCTTTACATCTGGAACCAAGACAGTCCGGGAATAGGGCCTGCTTGGGACGATGTCAGCATGGATGACCTCACACTCAGGTTCCAAACGGTGAAGAAAGTTCAACCTAGGTTTGCTTCCGACCATGCCCGTCTCCAAACCCACGTGCTCCACCTGGTTAACAAGCAGCATGCAGAAGGCGGCGGCGCTTCCTCGGCGACCGGGACCCCACTTTCCACTATCCGGGTCATCAAACTTTGGTACCTCCTACCAGGTATTCTGCACTCCTTTGATGGTCGGATAGCTCGAAAAAAACGCTACAACTCGCTCAAAAGAGGGGATATATCGTCCGTTCTTCCTTGGCTGATTGAGTATACCAAGGCGGCGAGTGCAAGGAGCAGGGGACCGGCACGGGAAGACACACCCGACGACAAGTTCAAAAGAGCGGCGCAGGCATGCCGACACTCTGGAGGCGTGAAGGACGCAGCAAGAGCGCTCCTAGCCGATCAACCGTCACCGGGGAACGACGAGACATGGGCACGTCTGAAAGCCAAATTTCCGCATGAGGATCCCGTACAAGTGGAGCAGGTCATCGCCGAAGCCATCGCTGCAAGCCGCACTGAGGAGGAGGAAGGAAGCGCCCCAATATGGAGGCCAGAAACCGAGTTCGATCCACAAGTACTCCTTCAAGTCATCAACAGCAGAAGCTCTAACTCTGGAGCAGGAAATGACGGGCAACGTTTCTCCCACCTTAAGTCCATCGTCAACACCAAAATTGGTCGGGAAGAGTTCAGCAACGAGATGTCGTCTCTTTGGAGGAGGCTCATCAACGATCCCAACGCGTTCCCACCGGAGTTCTGGACTCTTTGGAAACAATCCAGTCTAATCGCCCTCGGTGAAAAGTGCCGTCCAGTGTGCATTGGAATGACTTGGAGAAGGCTGATTGCAGCGGGAACGGTCAGGGAGTGGAAACCGAAACTGGAAGAAATATTTCGGGAAGCGGACCAATTCGGAGTGGCGGTAGCTGGAGGAGTTGAACAAGTTGCGATGGACGCACAACTGGTTCATCAGACAGGTCATTGNCTCAGTGTGCATTGGAATGACATGGAGAAGGCTGATTGCAGCGGGAACGGTCAGGGAGTGGAAACCGAAACTGGAAGAAATATTTCGGGAAGCGGACCAATTCGGAGTGGCGGTAGCTGGAGGAGTTGAACAAGTTGCGATGGACGCACAACTGGTTCATCAGACAGGTCATTGGGTAGTCCAGACGGATTGCTCAAATGCCTTCAACACGGGCAAGCGCACCGCCATAATGGCCCAGGCCGCAAAGAGCGTCCCAGATCTCGTGGGGTACATCGCCAGGTGTTACGACGAAATCCCGGCAAAGGCGATATACACGATGGACTCCGGAGAGCGTCGGACGATCGAGTGCAAGAGCGGTGTGCAGCAAGGAGATGGAATGGGACCGCCCCTGTTCTGCTTCATCCTTGTCCCGATCGTCTTGAAGCTTAGAGTCAAGTACGACCACCTCGGGGTAAGCTTGAAAGCTTATATGGACGACATCAGCCTGCACTTCAAAAATATCACAGCGGAAAATATCCAGGTGATACCGGACCTCGTCGACGAACTAGAAGCTGTGGGCATCATCGTCAACAGGGGGAAGAGCTCAGCGCTTCCCCCACCAGGGCACGACGTGACGCCAGCAGAAAGGAGGCTACTTGGCGATGCAGGCCTACCGATTGCGGAGGAGGGCATCACAGTTGTGGGAGTCCCCATTGGGACGGATGCCTACGTC